AAACAGACACTGTACTAATGGCACTGGGGAGGAAGGGGTTAACTTTTGGAGACAATGAAAGGGTTAACTGTGTGAGGGGAGTGTTTTACTAGGGGGCGGAGGTGTGTACCTCTGTTACACCTCTGCGATCCCGGAACAGTGTGCTGAAAGCTGACAGGGAGGAAAGCTCCATTGAAAACAATGCAGCCTTCCTCTCTCTCTCAGTGATTACCAGCAATCACCAGCCGGGACTTGGTGATTGACACTCGCGGCCGTGATCGGTGCCGCGGGTAGGGCGGGTGAGCGCCCCCCTACCCCGGCATGCAGGATCATGTTTATATACGTGATCCTGCGCACAGGGGCCCCCTTGTAGCAGTATATGTACTGCAGGCAGTCCCCTGGTGGTTAATGTAACCTATACAACAGTACAACTCAGTTGAAAAACAAAAATCTTTTAGGTGGAGGAAAGTAAAAAATAAAAAAACAAACACTATGGTTGCTCAAGTGTGCACACCCTTAAATACTTTGTTGAAGCACCTTTTGCTTTTATTAGCCAAGCCAAGATGGCGACCGGAGCAGTCTCCTAGCTAGGAGCTCCGTCGCCCAAGTCCCCATCCACTGCCATCCGGGCAGCAGCGGACTCCACGGGAGCCCTGGTGACTCTGCGGCCCCTGATGAGCACCCAGAGAGGGGTGCTGGGCCACTCTTGGATCAGTCCCAGAGCCCCGGGATTTGCAGCCTACTGCGGCCTACCGCGGCTTATGAAGCCGCAGCCTTGATTCGATCCGCAGCCGACCCGCCCCCCCCCCCCCCCCCCCGGCCCCTGCTGACTTACCTGCTCCCAGGGTGGACTCCCAGCGGCAGCCCAGCACTGGACCCAGACTCAGCAAGCAGGCTCAGCAGCAGGCTGCAGTGGACACAAGATCAGCAGGCAGACAACAAGTGGACACCCCAGCAGGCTCCCTGGCCCTCTCCACCGGTGTCAAGGGCCACTTCTGGCAGGACCAGGCTGCTGTGGCCGCCGACAGGACCCCGCACGGCATCACCACCACTCGATCCCCGCATCACACATGGACACTACCTCGCGGCCTAGCATGGCCGCACAGCCCAAGGCTCAGTCGCCCCGGGTCTCCACCCGGGCAGCAGTGACCTCCAGAGGCTCCCTACAGCGTCCCCTGCACCTGGGTAAGCCATCTCCATCCACCTCCATCCCCACCCCTGCACTCGGGCAAACCACCTCCATCTATCTTCATCTCCACCCCGGCGGTCTTCCCCGAGGACACCCACGGCCGTGTCACCAGGGGTCACCCGTGGCCTGGTGCGGACACGTAGCCTGAGACTCAGGCACCCCGGCTTAAAACCCCCCCGCGACCCAAGCAGCGGCGTGCCTCTGATGTGCATCAAAACCCTCCCCGGCTATTTGCCATCGGCTTCAAGGGACATAAATTCTACAACTGTCGCCCATCCCTCTCCTCCTCAAGCCAAACCTCAGCCTACAACCTGGAACTTCCACCTGGACCCTGAACTCTGCCAAGCAAATCTCCGCAAAAGCACGAACGTCCTCCCACAAGAAAGACTCAACGCTCCAGATCTGACCACCCAAATACCACTCATGCCAAACCCAGCCCAGCTTGACCCAAAAGGACAAGACCTCTAGATGCAGGAAGATACAAAAAGAAACTCTACTGAATGCTAGACAATCTGCGATCAAACGCCCCTGGAAACCATCTCTCCATACCCGATCCCCACTCCCTACACCTTTACAGTAAATGCCTCCTCTACTCCTTTTCATAGTCCTTTGTGTTCCCAAAACCTCACTCACTTCTCCGTCCCTCTGCTCCACCTAAAAACTTGTACATCTCTCCCTCACTGCTCCCATCATCTCACTACTGCTCTCATCACCTCCTGCTGATACTTCATTCTCCTTCTGACCCTAACACCAGGACTGGAAGGCATGCGCGCCCGTATACATCCCGCTCACATGCCACCTTCCTCACCCTTCTCCACCTAACCTCTGGGGATATCTCCCCGAACCCTGGTCCTCCTCTACTTCGCCCACACAAGACATCCTCTTTCCCCCGGCAATTACCGCAATCCCCTCAATCTTATATCTGTCCCTTTGCTCCCCAAAACCACCCTTCTGTTTTCATGTGCACTCTGGAATGTCCGTTCGGTCTGCAATAAACTCACCTCCATCCACGACCTTCGTTTCCCGCTCTCATAACCTTCTAGCCCTCACCGAAACCTGGCTCCAAGCAGCAGATACGGTCTCCCCCGAAGCACTCTCCTACGGAGTCCTCATCTTGACCCACTCACCCAGGCCCAGTGGTTGGAAAGGAGGTGGGGTTGGTCTACTTCTGTTCCACTGAGCACCTTTCAAGTCCTCCCTAACCCTCCCTCTCTATCCTTCTCTTCTTTCGAGACCCACTGCATCCGGCTATTCTCTCCAATCTCTCTGAGGATTGCAGTGATCTACCGGCCTCCTGGTCCCGTGTCCCGCTTACTTGATGACTTTGCCACCTGGCTACCCTACTTTCTCTCCTCCGAGCTACCCACTATCATCCTTGGAGACTTCAACATCCCTATTAACGTCAATAACCCGGCTATATCCCAACTCCTTCACATAACCTCTTCTTTTGAACTAGCGCAGTGTATACAGTCCTCCACTCACTCCGACGGGAATACCTTAGACCTTGTCTTCTCTCACCACTGTACCCCCTATAACCTCTCAAACACCCCCATTTCCCCTCTCTGACCACAATCTCATCACCTACACAGTCTCCTCATCCTCTAACACCTACCCCACTAAACAGAAGACAATTACCAGCAAAAATCTCAGAAACCTAAACCCGGCTTCCTTCCATTCCTCAACTGACCAGCTCAACGACAGCATTAACCCCGTCCTGCCCTGACCCGGCCACTGCTGTCTACAACAACTCTCTCATCTGCTCTAGACTCGCTTGCTCCCCTAACAACACGAAGCATCAGGCCCCGACCTCTACAACCTTGGCAGACTGACCACACCTTAAATCTCAAATGACACAGTTGCGCGCTGGAGCGATTATGGCGTAAAACCAAGTCCCACCAAGCATTCACCAGTTATAAATCCGCCTTCCTAACATACATTTCCTCCCTTCATGCTGCCAAACAAGCTTACTTTGTCACCCTCACCAATACCTTCTCTTCGAGTCGTCGGCTCTTCTCTACCTTTAACCCTCTACTTTCTCCACCCCCACCCAGCACCTCACTCACTGCCCACGAGATTGCACACCACTTGCACAAGAGTGACACAACTCGTAGGGACATCGCCACTACACAGACACTCACCCCACTTAGCATTCCTCACACCATACCTCCCTCAACACTGTCCTCCTTTGACCTCACTACCACCGAAGAGGTCCTTAAGGTCTTCTCAGAAGCCCGCCTCACCACCTGCCCCCTGGACCCTGTCCCCTCACAACTCTCTCCTGGTTCTCCTATCTATTGCTGCGCTCCTTCAGTGTTACCTATAACACTGCCACCTCCTCCTCACTCCCTCTCTCTGTAGGGGTGTCAGGAATTGACTTGCCAATGGTGGTGGGACTCACCTGCCTTGTGGGCTGCAGTACCAGGGCTGGCTAGCGGGTGCTCTCAGCAACCAGAAGCTCACTCCTGCAGTCAGCCATCACCTGAGGCTGATTGCAGGAAGTGTATTTAAGGAATGGCCAGACCTGCAGTCAGTGCCTTGGTGTATGTTTCCCATGAGCCCCTGTACCTGCATCCTGTCTGCTTCCTGCCCGATTCTGCTTGATCCTGACCCTGAATGAACTCCGCCTGTCCAGACCTCGGCTATTCCTGACCACTCTCCAGCCTGCTCCTTTGGTACCTTGTCTGCCTGATTGTTCCTGACCTGGCCCGTCTGACTATGCTCTGCCTACTCCTTTGTGTCTTGTCTGCCCGATGATTCCTGACCCGGCCCACCTGACCACTCCACCTCGCCAGCCCTGACTGCTCTTATCTGTGTACATTCTGTTATCAGTTGGAGGTTTGGTTTTGTTATATTGTGCGTTATATTTGTGTATAACCCTTAATAAATTATATTGTTACACCATACTTGAGCCTGCGTTTCCCTGTGTCAGTTCACGCATCTCTGGTCTTACCGGGAGCCCTGACATTACACCAAGGCCATTCTTGACCAGAAGTGGCTGCACAGGGAAGCCATCTTGGCTTATTGTTGTGAAGGATGCATCCGGAGGAGGTTATATACTTGTGTCTGCTATTCTTTAATGACAAAGAATATGCCTATGAGACTCTGCAGGAGTATACCAGGGATCAGCTGCTAGAGTGCATAGGGGTCGCGTATTCCCTGGTAGATCAGGGCACAGAGTTCTCTGAGGTGCAACCATTAATTCAGGATTGTGTGGAGTTGGCTTCAGCTAGTACCCCTGAAAGCAGGGATGACTTTTTTCCCCCCATTGTAGAGCAAGTGGAATCGCTGGTATGGTTGTTGGAGGAGGATCCAGATTTCTTCCATGAGCATTATGCAGTTTGTCCATCTCATGCGCTAGTGGAGTGTATAGACGCAGTGCAGTCTTTGGTCAGACAGGCTATGTGTAAGCGGAGTTGTGTTCAACCAATACTACAGTCCTGCTCAGACTTGTTACACCCAGCCTCAGGCAGCCTGCAACAAACCCATCTTGCTTCTAATTATTCCTCTGCTCAAAGCTCTATTCCTGCATTCCCGACAGCACCCCCAGTTACAGCCCAATATACCCCGCTATCTACGTCAGTATCCTGTTCCCACTCGCTGCACCTATCCTGCCTTTAACCCTGTAAAAAAGGCTGCTGTAATAACTATTCCCTCCTCTGTTCCACCCTCCAGCTCTTCTGTGTCCCCAGCTACTCTGTCCAATTACAGACCTGCATTTACTTGCAGTACCCCAGTAACTAAACCCAAGAAGAAGTGAAAATTCTTTCCAACCAGTACCATCCTACCAGTATCCAAACCGGTCAGCCTTCTGTTGTTCAGCCTGATGCCGGATGACCCAGTGTACGCTATCCAGCCTGATGACCCGATCCAGCCTGATGACCCAGTCCGGCCTGGTGACTCGGTGCCCGTGGTCCGGCCTGGTGACTCGGTGCCCGTGGTCCGGCCTGGTGACTCGGTGCCCGTGGTCCGGCCTGGTGACTCGGTGCCCGTGGTCCGGCCTGGTGACTCGGTGCCCGTGGTCCGGCCTGGTGACTCGGTGCCCGCTGCCCCGCCTGATGGCCCGGTGCCCGCTGCCCCGCCTGATGGCCCGGTGTCGTGCCAGATGACTCGGTGCCCGCTGCCCAGCCTGACGTGCCTCTGCCCGCTGCCCAGCCTGACGTGCCTCTGCCCGCTGCCCAGCCTGACGTGCCTCTGCCCGCTGCCCAGCCTGACGTGCCTCTGCCCGCTGCCCAGCCTGACGTGCCTCTGCCCGCTGCCCAGCCTGACGTGCCTCTGCCCGCTGCCCAGCCTGATGTACCAGCTCCTGATGCCCAGCCTGCTTCTGGAAATCCTGTGTCCAGCAATCTGCCTTCCTGCGGTCTCCTGCAAAAAGATAGGCCTATCAGCAGGAGACCCAGCCAATCACTTGATTCCAGCAGTGGGATGTCCAGCTAGTTGCCTGACCCAGGCGGTGGAACATTTGGGCCATTGCGCACTGTTTGGAGCGTCCTGAGGCCGCTCCTTGAGTCCTAGGGGGGGGGTACTGTCAGGAATAGACTTGCCAATGGTGGTGGGACTCACCTGCCTTGTGGGCTGCAGTACCAGGGCTGGCTAGCGGGTGCTCTCAGCAACCAAAAGCTCACTCCTGCAGTCAGCCATCACCTGAGGCTGATTGCAGGAAGTGTATTTAAGGAATGGCCAGACCTGCAGTCAGTGCCTTGGTGTATGTTTCCCATGAGCCCCTGTACCTGCATCCTGTCTGCTTCCTGCCTGATTCTGCTTGATCCTGACCCTGAATGAACTCCGCCTGTCCAGACCTCGGCTATTCCTGACCACTCTCCAGCCTGCTCCTTTGGTACCTTGTCTGCCTGATTGTTCCTGACCTGGCCCGTCTGACTATGCTCTGCCTACTCCTTTGTGTCTTGTCTGCCCGATGATTCCTGACCCGGCCCACCTGACCACTCCACCTCGCCAGCCCTGACTGCTCTTATCTGTGTACATTCTGTTATCAGTTGGAGGTTTGGTTTTGTTATATTGTGCGTTATATTTGTGTATAACCCTTAATAAATTATATTGTTACACCATACTTGAGCCTGCGTTTCCCTGTGTCAGTTCACGCATCTCTGGTCTTACCGGGAGCCCTGACAAGGGGTCCCCCAAGGTTCTGTCCTTAGACCCCTTCTCTTCTCCATCTACACTTCCTCCCTTGGTCACTTGATAAGCTCCCACAGCACTCATTCTTTGAGTATGAGTCTATCACCATGGCACATCTTGACTCTTTATTGCAAAAACACTCCAAACCTGTCAGATTGTGAGTGCATCTCACGTGCACAGCCCTCTTCAGATCACCCAACAGATTTAAAATCGGAAACAGGTCTGGGCCATTCGAAAACTTTAATCTTCTTTTGGTGAAGCCATTCCTTTATTTGGATGTGTGCTTTGGGTAGTTGTCATGCTGAAAAATGAAGTTCCTCTTTCATGTTCAGCTTTCTAGCAGAAGCCTGAAGGTTTTGTGCCAATATTGATTGGTATTTGGAATTGTACATAAATTTCCTCTACCTTGACTAAGTCCCCAGCTCCAGCTGAAGAAAAACAGCACCAAAGCATGATGTGCCACCGCCATGCATCACTGTGGGTATGGTGTTCTTTTGGTGATGTGCAGTGTTTTTTGCGCCAAACATATCTTTTGGAATTATGACAAAGTTCAACCTTGGTTTCATCAGACCATAAACATTTTCCCACATGCTTTTGGGAGACTTCAGATGTGTTTTTGCAAAATTTAGCCAGGCTTGGATGTTTTTATAAGTAAGAAAAGGCTTTCATCTTGCCACTCTACCCCATAGCCCAGACATATAAAGAATACGAGAGATTGTTGTCACATGTACCACACAGCCATTACTTGCCAGATATTGCTGCAGCTCCTTTAATGTTGCTGTGAGCCTCTTGGTAGCTCCCGGACCAGTTTTCTTCTCATCTCTCATCAATTTGGAGGGACATCCAGTTCTTGGTAATGTCACTGTTGCACCATATTTTCTCCACTTGATGAGGACTGTCTTCAATGTGTTCCATGGCATATCTAATGCCTTGGAAATTCTTTTGTACCCTTCTCCTGACTGATACCTTTTAACAATGAGATCGCTCTGATACTTGGGAAGATCTCTGCAGACCATGGCTTTTGCTGTAGGATGCTACTAAGAAAATGTCAGGAAAGACCTACTAGAACAGCCGATCTTTATTTGGGGATAATCCCAGGCACTTTAAAATGATGGCAGGTGTGTACCAACTCCCATTTAACATGTTTTTGAATGTGATTACTTTATTCTGGACACAGCTACATCCCCAGTTATAAGAGGGTGTGCACTTATGCAACCACATTATTTTAGTTTGAAATCTTTTGGGGGGGGGGGTAAACAGTTTGTTGTTCAATTGAGTTGTACAGTTTATAGGTCCCAATAAAAAAAAGGTGGAAAAAGTTCTGAAAGGATTGGCTCATCTCTTTACATCACAGGAACCTGATATTTTAACAGCGGTGTGTAGACTTTTTATATCCACTGTACGAAGGGTACTGGCTGGGTGAAGGGGTGATCAAAGGGTTAATAGGGGCGATCAAAGAGTTAAATGTGTCTAATGCGTGCGAAATGTAGTGCTTTTACTCAGTGTTGTGTTAGTTCTCTCCCTGGACAGCATAGGGGGTAGCAGGGGCGCACACATGCATGCATGCATATGCACACCCAGAACCTGAAAGTGACGTAAAATTATGTCACTTTATCCAGTCCACAGCTTTCCCACACATTGTTGTACTTCAAGATAAATGTTTAAAAATTGATTTTTTTTTTTTTTTAATACTTTCATTAGAGTTCTGCAATGTTACCATAGTGGGTAATCAGAGATTGCTTAAGCAATGAAGATCATTCATCAAAGCTTGCTTTGAACTGTCATGATAAATGTGCCAAGTTCATGAAGGTTCAGTAGTGATCTGTGATTGGCTCCAGCTGGTCACATGGTACTGTAATCGGCCCCATGTATCATGTGAGAGCTGTGGACCAAATCACAGCTCTCCAGGAACAGAAGCAAAGCTTTTATGAATCAAATTGATTGCTAAAAGCTTTGTGGACATTGTGATCATGTGATCACCAGGATTCTCATTCTGCTGTGCCCGGTGGACACAGACGTGGGGGGTAGGGGTGCCCCCGTTTTGGCAAAAGACCAGTGATGCACAGGTACGTTACTGGTTCTGTAGCTGCTGCCTGTCCACAGTACACTGCAGACAGGTGGCCCGAAAGTGGTTAATAAAAAATCAAAAACTGCATTTTGTACCATGGGTTCTCTGTGTAATAATTATTTGTTTGATGATCTCAATCAAAAAAAAAGAAAAAAAAAATCAGGAAGAGGACAAATACTTTTTCACAGCATTGTATAATGTTTCTAACAAAAAATACTGATTGTTACATGTAAACAAAAAAGTGCCAGAAGAGGCTTGGTCTTCAAGTGGTTAATGGAGCGGACACTGGAGCCTCATTTGGCTGCTCAGCCGATGCTTGTACGGAGATTAAAAACGCATCAAAAAGTAACACGTGTGTGTGTCTGAAGCGTGTCTGCAGTGTTTTCAATGCATTTCAGGCCTGTTCCCACCAAAGCAGTTTGTGTTTTGTCCATTTTGCCATGCGTTTTGCACTTTAGCATGTGTGTTTTTGATGATTTTAGGGATTTTGCATTTTTTTTTTGGCCAACTTCTTGCTTGTGATTTTTTTTTGCCTATCCCAAAGTTCTTCTTTAAGATACGACTTATTAAGCAGTTACACCGATGGTGTGTTTAGTGGTAAATGGAAGCTTTCTGGTTAAACTAGGACGATTATAGGTCACGTAAAAGGCAGAATATTGATTGCAAAATTTCATCAATGACAGGCAAAAATCCATAGGACGTACAGTAGGCACATCACACAACCTGCAATCTATGTTGCCCCATCACCCTGGTATGGTTAAGGAAGGAAGGAAGGCATTGTCAAAGGCTCTGTGAGAGGAGGTAAAAACCTATTAACATCAGCAAGTATACAGAAAACCTAAAAAGGAGAAGTACAGGCAAAGTTATTTTGACTGTACTTCTCCTGTGGATCACAGGAGTGCAGTTCACTCTGCAGTTCGTTATGCACTCCGGTGACCCGTTTTCAGCTGACAGCGGGCTGAAGCCCGCTGTTAGCTGACGTCACTCAGCCAATCCAGGCTGTGGAAAAATCACGACTTTAAAGTCGGGATCCACCCCAGGGTCTGGAGCGGAATTTGGCTCAGGCTCTCAGAGATCTGCTGAGAGCCTGAGCCAGTAGCTCCCTCCCCCCCCCCTCCACAGCCCAGTGCACCAGTGAGCGAGGGGGAGGAGCAAAGTCACCGCTCTCGGCTCACAGTGGCGGTGAGTAATCAGCAATCATGTGATAGTCGAGTTCTTACACTTAGATTTGGTGGGGTACAGATGCAGCGGACTGATGCTGTATCCACCTAAAAATAATTTGGGGGGAAAAGAAAAAGCCATCCCATACTTCTCTTTTAAAGTATAAGTAAAGGCAAAAATTTTATTTAGTTTGGACAGAGTGGAGATGAATTAGTACGCTTTTCAATTTTTATTGTTGTCTGTGCCCCTTTTACCATCATAATTAAAAGAGAAAGTAAAAAAAAAAAAAAAAACCCATATTTTGGGTTGTCCCCAGAAAAGTAATAGAGGGAAAATCTTCCAATGGGGACACTAGTTCTAGTGACCTGGGGGTCCACAAGGAATTCCCTTAATTTGCAGGGAATTTCTCTCACTTATTATTTAGCTATGGGACAGGAAGTGAAGAGAAATTTCCACAATGGGATACAGATGGAGAAAAAAAAAAATCTGATAGGAGTTATAGCCAGTTTTGCCTATAGTCCTAACCACTTTCTGACCGGGCTATAGCCGAAAGACAGCTACAGCACGGTCGGCTGGTTCTGGGAGGTCATCTATAGACATCCTCCCGAAACCCCCCCCCCCCCCCGAGGCGTACATTGGTAGCACTATGATCACGGTGTCCATCAGCACCGCCACATCACTGCAGCAAAAAAATTACTTGTTTGCCAAATCTTACAACAGAAAATAAAAACTTTTCAAAATGTTCGGTATTTTATTTAGCAAAAAATAATCCAGTGGTGATTAAATAACACCAAAAAAAAAGTAAAAATTTCATATGGGTACAGTGTTGCATGACCACACAATTGTCAAAGTGTGACAGCACTGAAAGATGAAAATTAGCCTGGGAAGGAAGGGGGTGAAAGTTGAAATTGAAATGGTTAAAACAGGGACGCCAATATTTAATTTTTTTTTTTTTCTATTTAACTTAAGTCGGAGACACATGAGCAGACCCTGACATGGTGGCAGTGGAGAGGAATTGTGCATGTAGCAGTAGTATGGGCAGATGAGCCTTGTGCTGTCAGCACAGCCTGCTGGTATAGGTCCATGGCATGGTCCATTTGGGAATCGGGGCAAATCCAAGTCCAAAACAATTAAGGACGCATTTGCCTGTCCCACAGGCAAAATAGCAACTAGAGTAGCAGCGTCCTCAAGCCTCACATGCTCCCCAGGTGCTACAGAAACAGAGGACCCAGCTCTCAGCCTGAGCAA